TGATTCAGGCACAAGCACATCAAGATGTCACTTCATAACCTCTGGCTCAGGAGGCTCCTGTCATCTTCACATTTCAGAGATCCTCTGCCTGCCCCGGCAGACATGCTAAATATAGAATGGGGACAGAAATTCTGTTTGGAGCCACTGCTCTCTTTATCTACATCTACCGCTACATGCGTACATAGGCATGGCCATCTTCTCACTGTTATACACTTGTAGGCACACAATGCACCAATAAGACCCTATTGTATTGCCACTATCACTCACAATACCAATTTGTTAGGGGCTCAAGTGAACAGAAGACTCCACCATGTGAAAGACCGGGATCTCCTATGAAAGCTGTTCATACTTTCCAATTTCATTTCCGTGCAGTGACTGGTGTTATCACATCTTGGACAGTCAATTTAAAATTCACTCATTCAGAATTATTTAATCCAAGCTCAGAGACAGGCATGAGGCAATCAATCACTCTAGTCTTTACCTGGCTGGATCTTCACTTAGCACCGTTCTGTGAGAGTTACTTCATTTGACCTTAATCTCTTTCTTACTTTGCCTGGGCTGAGTTTCCAAAAGGAGCTGCAGAACTCTCTGTGGCAATTAATTGTACTACTTATCTGAAATGTGAACAGTGGATATTACATCTCCAACAGATATTAATTTAAGAATGCCTAAGGACTTTGGAAAGCCAAAGTCAAATATAAAGAAACGTAGACACTGTTAGGAACTATTGATTAATTTATAATAAGATATGTGCTTCATCTTCTTTTTATTTAGTCATGGAATTGATGTTGAATCAAGGTTGAGTGGAACTTGGGGAAACCAAATGTTCACAGTATGCCTATAAAGCGCCTTTGGTCAAATATGGTTGAAATATGGTCAAAAAAGCATTAACAATGCACTATCAGAATGTGCAACATCAGGATCCCAAAAACTCGAATGAATTTTAGACTCAAACTACATGCAAAAATGTATACATTTTGTCAAAGTAATAAAATTTCCCTAACATCCAGAACAGAGTTTTGCTATATTGAATTATTTTGCTAAATGGGTTGTATGACATCACTGTGCATTGCTCAGAGCATTGTATTTTGGGCATCTGACATTGGACATCCAAGTTACTCACTCCTTATTTGCCAGGCAGGACTCTCCGTTCAGGTGACCTACACCTACTACAGATTCCCCGTCTACGCTGCAAAACCCGTGGTGAACGAGCTTTTTTGTGTCTGCGCTCCAAAACTCTGGAACGATCCCCCGCTGAATATCAGACTCTCCTCCTCCATCGGGGTTTTTAAGTCTCACTTAAAGACTTAATTTTATTCCCTTGCTTTTACTGCCTAGCTATTTTCGCGATGGTTTATTTACACTGTTCTTTCACTGATTTTATTGACTTCTCTTGTTTGGCTCTTTGTGCTATGCTCTAGTTGTTTTATTCTTTTATATTATTCATTTAACCTTACATGTTTTTACCCCTGTACAGCACTTTGGTCAGCTCACATGCTGTTTTTAAATGTGCTCTATCAAATAAATGGAATGGAAATCTGAGAGCTAATGTAGCTAGAGGTGTTTGTAAACAAGAAGCTGCCATTGTTAAATTCTGTCAGAGTGAACATGCATTTCTCAACAAAAAGACTAGACATGTAAAAAGTAGTATTCATCATGACACTTCTCCAAAGACGCCATGATCTATAACTTTTACATGATGAGGCTTTCCAAGTACTTTGCATCCACATAAAATTGTGGACTGTTAGCCAGTTAAATACCTGCAATTTGATTTTGCATAGTGTGTGTGAAAAACCTCACACACACACACACACACACACACACGCACACACACACACACACACACACACACACACACACACACACACACACACACACGCACACACACACACACACACACACACACACAATGGTGTTCCCAGCAATAGATCTTTAAATGCATGCGTACATTTCACAAATGGACAGGTACAAGGTGTGCAGAATTTCAAGCCAGCAAACCGAGCAAAGACGGTCATCCTGATTAAAGTAGGTAATGTCAAGTAAAACTGATTTTTATAACTCATGTTAACAAGCCTGTTCCTACAAAAGTCCTTCAAATAACGTTTTTCAACATTTTTGAATAAGGCTGCTGCCTCTAGTTTACGCTGGCTGCCCCCGCCCACTGCTTTAACATTTGAATCATCCTCTATTTCCTCACTGTCTTTCCCTTGTAGATCAGATGGGGGGAGTCACATGACTACACAAAATCATGTGACTCTGTCCTATCCCGTTTATAGTACATACATCATATATGTAGACACCCCGTGGACTGGCACTGCCTATGAAAGATGGCATAGCAGAGGGCCGCCACGGGTCTACATTCACCCCCAGTGCATTTATTTCTACACAGGAAGGTGCTGTTCCCCAACTAAAAAACACATTTTATTATGCTTTTCCACAGTCAGATATATAGAGTATGTTAATTAAAATATAACAAAATAAATAAAAATATAAAATCCTAACAGGTAGGCTAGAAATATCAAGAGTAATTCCATGTGATCTGTTATCAATAGTGTACCTGTTGTTGTAACCATAGACTGCACAATACAACAGACATAGTTGCTCACTCTGCATTGATTCCATTTGGGCTTGAAAAGTGAGGAGACCCCCCCAATGGTGGTGACTTATTCTCTCCAGCACCCAATGGGGCATCTATGTATTAGTGACACACCAATATGAAATGTTTGGGCTGATACCGATATCTGATATTGAGATCACTGTTATGACCGATAACCGATAACCCATACCGATATACTGACATTAATGCTTCTAAAATCAGCAGATTTTGTACAGAATGAAAATTATTTAAGCTGAATTTACATTGTTATGTACACCCCTATACACATTTACAGTTCTGAGGTAATTACAATCACTGTTCACATGACTAAACAAATACTTTACAAATAATTTATTACATGTCCATCTCAGTGGACAGTGTGCACTCTGAACATGAAATATGTTGGCTTGACTTACTGAAGCCCAAATGGAGGGGCTCAAATGCAATAAAGTCTTCAACAGCTGTGCTTAATAGCAAAAAAATAAATAACTATTTTGAGTACCTGTCCACTGTAGTGACCATTATGCATCAAAGGGTTAAAAGAACATAATCTGTAAACTGCACACATCTTTTTTTTTTCAAATACCTGACAGATTAACATGGGCAAAACTATGTTGTAAATAGACGTTACATTTCAGTATCTGTAAATTGTAGGTAAATCACCCTGGCGATGCACCTCTAATTGTAGTTTCACTGAACTGTATTTTGTGAACAGCGACATCACAAAAAAAGCAGAGGTCATCAAACAGCAGAACAGCTGCTTTAAAATATTAAGTAGATGCTCAAAAAGCTGCTAGTTTGCCTGAAACTGGCTGAGTGGAGAAAAATCCGAATGATCCACCGCAGCAAGGAGCAAAGTGCTGTATGCGTGGCAAACGGTTTAACATCCTCGAAACATCCTAGACGGACCTTAACACAAGGATATGAAGAAAACAATTACTCCTGTGTTACATGTATTTATAGTTCCCACTTTCCCAGAATGCACTGCAGTGCTCTGTCATACATCAGTCTGTCATCAAAAATCAGCATCATGTGAGCCACTCCTACCACTTGTTTTCTGAATGTCATGCAGCCCTGCAAACACAAGCAATAAACTGAGAAGAAAAATCCACCATGACAAGAACTTTAATACATTTTTACAGAACACATTTTATTTAAGTTCATTTTTCATGGTTTCCTTGCCTTAGAACATCAGTATGATAACGAGGAAGCCTTTTCTACTTTGCATCAAAAAGGATAAAGAGCTCTGTAATGTGATGCAATGTCAAGGGTAGTCAGCACTGCCACTGAACACAGACTCTCGCCCTGGCATGCGTTTATCAGTCACCACTTGACACACTCATTGATCAGCACTTATTATCTTCAGGCTCACATGACCACAAATGAAGAAACATAGCTCAAAAACAACTTTTCAGCTTTTACGAGCCTCAGCAAAACCATCAAACACGAGCAACACATCTGATGGAATAAAACATGAAAGTCATGCTAAAATCTGTTATCCCGCAAACAGCAACACGTTTGAAATGTACCATCTGCAAGCTGCTGGAAGTTAGGTGCAACATCTCGCCAACAGTTCTGAAGTTTACCAGCAGATATTCACAGGCTGTACCCACCCAGCAAGAGGGAGCTGGACTTTTCTTCTCTGTTTCACTGCAGGTGTGATGACAACAGCGAGAAGTGCTCTGACACCACTTACTGGAAGTCATTTTAACCTCTGGCTCAGTGCAACAGAAACTTCCAGTCGGTGGAGTCACAGAGGAGTTAAGCATTTCTCATTTAGCTCTCCAGACCTGCAAACCCCTCCAGGCTCTGTACGCTACAGCATTCATAAGAGCTGTTTTACTGTAAAACTCTCTACATGCAGCAGATTGATCAAAACAAGGGGAGGAATGTGCATTTAAAGTCTCTTATTCAAATGAAACAGCTGATTTGAACCAATTAAAACATTTTAATTGATATTTTATATATTACCAACAGTTTCTCAGCATGAATTTTGTTTAAATACTTTTTTTAAATAAAAGCACACGCAGACAGGGTCAATACAACTGAGACAGTTGAAGGGAGGGGTCAGGCGAACTTTTCTTTCTCTTTGATTAAAAAAACGCAAAAACATGTCAAATTTAATGTTAACCTCAGGTTTGTTTCCCCATCTGAACTCAAAACAAACAAACAAAAAACCCAATGAATATTTTCTCTGATCAACCCACGCAAGGCTTAAAAGGGAATGAAAACTGAATATATTCTGACATCATTGGGAATGGAAGTAGATATCTGTAGTAAAAGGATGGTTTCAATCATAATAATATTTATTTAAACGTGCACGTATAATGTCTACTGCGCTTATTCTTATTAGTAAACTGAATTACTGATTAATCGTCTCCAAAAGAAATAGAAACGGACTTACCCAGGAACAAAGAGCGTAATATTGCAGACATCACGGCTGGAAATCCCAAAAGCACCGGAGCTGGAAACAATGCGCTCAGACTGCCTTCGGACGCATTCAGCTGACCTAGGCACGGGCACGACGAGGCGGAACCATCTGGTCAGCGAAATCACACAAATAAATCTTCACAGAGTCTGAGTCCAAGGACATCATACGGTGCTCACGCCCGACGCGTCTAAGCCTCCCAAGGAGAAGAATGGGAGGAGGAAGAGGAGGAGGAAGAAACGTGACTCTTTCTCGTCATTCTGTTGTTCTCATCGCAGGTGTCGAATCAAAGTTCCCCGGCTGTCTGGTTGTGGCGTGGGACGTGTTGTCTCAGGGTCCCCTCTGTCTACTTCCTCAGGCAGTGTCGCCTCACCGCCTCCTCCGCTGCACAAAACATCAGAGGAGGACGAGAGGGCGAGGAGGAGGCTGAGGAGGGGATGCTGAAGGATGGAGACCTCTAGAGTCTGAAGTTCTCTCACGCAGCCAGACCATTCTGCAACATAAACGCCAAAACCGGCTTGTTGGGAGAATGCGCTTCTTTTCATTGGAGTTTATTATTTTTTTTTTTACCGTAATTCTCCTTAGAATAAAATCCTATAAAATATTATTATCATGTCATAAAATACTAACCGACCTTGTTTGGGTTTTACTTGCAAAATGTTTTTGTAATAAAAAAGTAGTTTATAACATCAATATGAGACACTCGGTTTGTGAATAGTAATCAAACCACCAAAAGTGAAGTTAGTTAAAAACAAACCTAAAATATACTACAAAAATGAATCAGTGACTTTACTTTCTGATTGACACATCTCAAATAATTTCAGTTTAATTTATTTAACCCTGAGCCTCTTTTTGTACATCTAATTTAAAATGACTTGTTGAAAATTAATTGAATATATCTTCGGAAATATGAGGTTTATTTCAATTGCTTTGATTCCACAAAGAAAAAAATGGTAAAAGTCCAAGAAATGATCCAGAGGTCTGAAAATCCACACTCATGTTATTTAGTGAGAGTAAGCAAATAAGGCACATTAACTACTGTTTTTTGTTGTTGTTTTATTCACAGGCTAAAATGGTTAAAATTAAAAATAAATTTAAAAATATATATATATAAACTTAAAACATATGTTAGTTAAAGTATCTAAAAATGTATTCAAATAATCAAATTTATGTCAGACAAGCAAAATATTTTTATGTTTAATGCTAATTAATCAAATTATGATTGTTTATTAAAATGATAATTATGTTGTGTTTTGTTATGAAATTCCATATCCATCCATCCATCCGTTGTCTTTACCCGCTCATCCACACAGGGTCACGGGGCCTGGTGCCTATTTCCAGTAATATCTGGGTAAACAGGCGGGGTACACCCTGGTTGATTACCAGTCCATTGCAGGACAACAAAAAGACACCCTATGTCTAGGGATTCCCTAAGTGGGGTGCGGGAGCTACCGCTAGGGGGTGCACGAGGTAAAAAGTGTAATGGCTGCGGAGCTCAGAGAAGTCTGTCATATGTCACCATTAGCGTAGCCAGAAACTCATTTGTGGGTGGGTCAAAGAATAAGTAAGTGGGCCCAATAAATGTAATTGAAAACAAGTATATTTTGCATGTGTGTGTGTGTGTGTGTGTTTGTGTGTGTGTGTGTGTGTGTGTGTGTGTTTGTGTGTGTCCTCCGCATGTGCCCTAGCTTCATAATAACAATGCGCCGAGCTTCAGCACTCTGACCTGCGCACGCGGTCAGTAGCAAGATGTGTTCAGTATTTGATCATTTTTAACGATGGTGGAGAAATCTGAAGGTGGTGAGTCATTCTGGCAGATTGTAATTAACACCTGTCTCATGCAGGTGTTCTGACATTGTAAACCTCACACACAGAACATTGTGGATGTAACAAAATGAGTCAAGAAATGATTCCCATCTGAGCATTTTAGCATTATTATATTATTATATAAGCACACTGACTGTGGGACAGCATTCTGAACGTGTCAGGCTATTAACAGCGCGCTGAAGATCTGAAGTTCAGAGTGCGTCTGTCGGAGGTCAGACGCGTTCCAGTGGAACCACGGCTCACAGGTGCACATGTGAGCACATCTGGGCTGGGCAGAAGTAACTTTACAACATTGGTTTAAATAGCGCCAATAACGAGACACAGTGACTGGAGCGGCTCATGGAGCTGTGCCGCACACACACACACACACACACACACACACACACACACACACACACACACACACACACACACACACACACACACACACACACACACACACACACACACACACACACACACACACACACACACACACACACAGATTCAATAAGCACACACGCCACGCCGCACCGTCAGGCTGAAGGCAGAAATGAGCGCTGCCTCCTCTGTGATAAAAAAAAACTTTTAAGAGGTTTTATAACAACAGTTTTCATTCAAGGTCAAATTAAGATATTGGCTTCTATTTTGGGATGACGTATTAATGTTGAATCCGCTCCAGCCTCTAGCCTTCCAGTGACTCCTCATGAACCTGACAACAACTCATGTTACTGCAGCATTTGTTATTCCCGTCCGCGTGGCAGCGGATCGCAGATTCAGCCACACCATAAAACAGCAATAGGTCGGTCTGAGGTAAAAGTGAACCTCATGGCTAAAACTTTTCCATCTTTCCCCTATAGACATTTGATTACGCACAAGTAGGTGGCCAGTTCAGGTTTACGCAGAGCAGATGGAAGGAGAGTGCTCTGGTTACACGTTCCTGCTTTAAGAAAACCATTAAATTGCATTGTTTATGTGCTACCTGGGCACTCTAAATATTTATTTAAAATTAAATCAAAGGAAATTGTAACGGTATTGAATGTTTATTAATTACTATTTAAAAAATGAAAGTGATGGGGAAAAAGGTCGATCATATTTTTTTAACCCTGTCTGTTTAGCTTGACGTCTGATATATATATATATATATATATATATATATATATATATATATATATATATATATATACATGCCCTGATGTGGGGGCTGGGGGTGCGTCGACATGGTCGGGACATAGAAAGGGGTGCGCGGCTAAATAAGTTTGGGAACCGCAGCCCAAGACTTACACCATAGTACACACACACTCATGCCTAAGGACAATTTAGAGAAGCCTATGAACCTGACAGTCATGTTTTTGGACTCTGGGAACCTGGAGAAAATCCACACATCACACAGTTGCTGCAGATTTGTCAGCTGCACATCCATCATGCGAATCTTCCATTCCACCACATCCCTAAGGGGCTCTATTGTTAAAGTTAAAGAGCAAGTAACACCTGAATTAACTTTTTTTTGCTGATAACCTGTATAGATGAGTGTCTAATGGTGCTGAACACATGTTTAATCATTAGTGTGGCAGTTTAGAGCAACTTACTCTAAATTTAATATTTCAGCCCAAAACCATAATTATATCTCCATCTTCAGGTTAAAATCTCTGCTCTATATTCATGTAGAATCAGCTGTGGCTGATAAGTAAAAAGCATGACGTCATCAGCAAAGTGGCTGCACCGCTCTGGTCTCCAGGTGAGGCAGCCGCACCTCCACCTGGCTCAGCCACTCACCTGCCGATATGACATGCTGGCGCTCTGAGCCGCTCGCCTCCACGAAAAAAATGCCTCCTCCCCTTTTCATCTAATGGTTGTGTTTAACAGGAAATCCTCCAGAATGCTGCAGAATCTGCATCTGTGGTGAGAAGCTCGATCATCTGGGAGGGGCTCTTTGTGGATCTGCTGCTCCTCCACACTGAAATAAGCCAGTTGAGGTGGCTCGGGCTTCTGATTAGGTCCAAGGCCGTAGGAACCGGGGGGAACTGGTGTGACGTGTCCCCTCCAGTATTGGACAAACTAAAATTTATCACCCTCACGTGGAGAAGAATAAAATTGATTTAGATTTATTTTACTCTTGAGCTTTTATTTTGAAAGACACCACAGAGTTCTCACCAGCACAGCCCCTCCCCTCAGGGAGTCAGGCTGGCTGAGTGAAGCAGGAGTCGAAAGCCGGGCGCAGACTAGTGATGGGATTTATGGCTCTTTCATGAGAGCCGTTCATTAGTCGGTCGTTTACCTCAAAGAGCCGTTCAAAAGACAGGCTCCCTTGAACGAGGTGAAGCCGGGAGAGGGGGGGGGGGGGGGGGGGGGGGGGGGGGGGGGGGGGATATCAAGAGCAACGTCTTCCTGCGGTGTCCATGAGGGCGCACGGGGTTGGTTAGCGTTCCTCCCATAGATATGTATATAAACACATGTTTATATACATATCTATGGTTCCTCCCATGTCCGTCACAGCGGTGGGTGGGGTTTGACCGACTTCCGAGGAGGTTTGTTAAGATGAACGTGTCTCTAAGGGACTCGGCTCTCATCATTCACTTTGAAAATCCGGTCAAAATATTCGATTCGTTCGTGAACGTCACATCACTGGCGCAGACACAGGTGTCAGAGATGAGACGACAGCAGCAGCTCAGCGAGTTGTTTCTCATGGGCAAAAAAAAAAACGGGAAGAAAGGGAATGTGAGTTGGTAATTTTGTCCAAGAGGATAATTGTATGTTGGCAAAAGGAGATCTGAGGCACTCAGGAGATACAAAAATAAAAAAGCCTTTATTAGTACATGGCTCAAATAGTTAAAAACATAAATGCCGACGCGTTTCAGCCCACAGGGCCTTCGTCAGGGCTCAAAATGTTTGTATGTTGTCTCACTTTCATGTTAAGAAGACTAATCAATGACACCTGCTGAAGTTGGGCAGGTAGACAGCATTATGATTGGATGACCAGTATAACATAAAAAAACTTTTAACATCTAAACAATCCTATTGTAAGGATGAATACTTACAAATATTAAATTTCACTTATAGAATTTGAGAAAAAATTGTAAATATGGTACACAAATGGTAAGAAAACATGAGATTATAAACAAGGAGCGAAATCTAATTCTCCAGTAAGACCTGGGAAATTAGCTTTTAATGTATAAATCCAAAATGATTCTCTTTGCAAGAGTTTTTTAAGCCTATCTCCTCCTCTAATTGAATGTTTTATATGTTCAATCCCTGTGATTTTAAGAGAGTTACAGCTTCCATGATTTGTGTCTTTATAATGCACTGCCATAGAATACAGAGGATTACCAGATCTGATTGCTTGTTTGTGTTCTGCAAGTCTTGCTTTAAACTTACGTTTAGTTCTCCCAAATATGGAAGCAACCACATGGGCATTCTAGTCTGTGGACCACGAACGAAGTATTACAATTGATAAATGTATTAATGTAAAAAGTACGTCCTGTGAAAACATCAGCAAAACAATTAGTATTAGTCATGTTGTCACAGTGAACACAATTTCCACATTTATAGTTGCTTTTTCGAGTTGATAACCAAGTTTTTTTCTGATCAAAAGTTGGACTGGCTGACTAATTTAA